ATGATGATTCTTGATAGTAAGCTCCTTCATCATTGCAATCAATTGATACTGGGATTTCATTCTTCCAGCCAAAGGGTAAAATTGAGTTAAAGTTTGTGAAAGTGAAGTTTTTAAGTGGCTACATATTTGTGATTGTGTGATGTTTTCACTCTATTTGTAAAACAAAATGAGTGGGATTGAAGAATGAGGTATTATTTCATCTATGAAAGAGATTTTGTGGTCTCTAAGTTCATGTGGAGTTGGGGATGATGGCTTAATAAGCTCTTCCCAAATCTTAGCAATTTTCATTTTTTTCTTGAACATGTAAGATGAGAATGTAGCTTGTTTCTTACTTATATAAGTAACCGAGTTTAACTTCTATATACCGACAATGTAAGTTTCTCGTGAAAAAGGCGAATGATGACTCATAATAAGTGGAATTGGTAATTTAAAAAATAAGACAAGTGATCTTCCACGACAGGTTAAATTGCACTGATAGTTTGAAAAAATCTAGAATTCTTTTATGTGACAAGGAATCTTCTTCCCCCATGAGGAGACAAATGCTACAGGATTGAGTAGTATTACTTATGATAAATAATTCAATTTGTTTTTTGATTGAATAAAATTAATGAGCTTTAAGTCCTTGTCTTGTGATTGTATCTGATAGTAACTAATGAACTAATTGAATATTCAACTATTAATTAAGTCCTTGTCATGTGTTCTGTATGATAGTAATTAGTTACTAATAGAGTACTTCAACCATTTTTTTTTTGGTTTCCCTCCCTCGAAATCAGCTTTGAGGCCGGGTGAAAAAAAATTCATATCAAAAGCGATTTTATTCGAGGGCTCAAACCTGAGACCTCTCGTTCGAGTGGAATGGTACTTAATCATCACCCTACTACAACTTTTGGTAGTAGTACTTCAACTATTAGTTCAGCAAAGGAATTATTACTAATGTTATAATTTGAAAATTATTAGAGTTATGTCCTCTATGGAACTATTACTAATGTTATCTTAAAGTAGATGATTGACTTTGTGTATTTCTCATTTATTTTGTAGGAATAGATAATAAATATATGATCGAATGCATACGTAGGTAAGGATTGCTTAGAGTTGGATGCAGAATTCCTAATTCACACTGAGATGTTAAGTGGTTTGGAAAATAAGATTTTCCTTTTACAATTTTGGCCTACTGGTCACTAAAATGGGAAGAGCACTATAAGATCTCTTGGCCCTTGTTAAGTGGATAGAATCTCATATTTCTTTGTTGTATGTGTTGGAGAGTAATGGGACTTAATGATGGATTGACTTGTTCATATCAATAATCCTAATGATGAAAAAGGGATAATAAAGACAAATTCGTTATTTATTGATGTGGTGTGTTGAGAATGATTTGGAAGGTTTGTTGATTCATTGTTGATGTTGTATCACCATTGTGTTGTTGTGAATTGTGCATTGATATGAAAATTACCATCTCTTATATTATTTGTGGACATGCCTAGTTGCATGGGTTTTGAGACAAGGTTGTGACAAGTGGTATTGAGGAAGAATAAAGAATGATAGAGGATGTATCATTTTTAGGGACGTATCGCTGCAACGGATATATTGATTTGAGGGTACCGTATGCCGCGACGGATGCATGGACTAATAAGTCCCCTATGGATCCCGGACTAAGAGACAACATGTGTGTATCGATTGGTCAGACATGCATCATTATACTTTTTATTGCATTGCATATCTATATCATTGTGAACTTAATTGTGAGTGTTCTATGAAATTTGTGATTGATGAACTTGATCATCTGTATAGTTGATCTATAATTGTTGGAGTGTTGTAGTTGAGCTATGTGTTATTTAAATTGTGCATTGTTAGGGTGGGATGGTTTTATAAAAGTTGTAGTTGTGGAGGTTTGGATGGAGTGGTACGCGTATCCGTATTCTATATTACTTGACTTTATGTTTAGGAGTTTGCTTGCTAAGTACCATGTTGCTTAGTACTCACCCTTGCTTCTATAATTGTATAGGTTATGAGTCCGGATCTTCGTGATACTCTCTCTTCTCTTCTTGTCTGAGGTTTCCTGTGGAGATTTATGAGGTGGTTATTTGTCATCTTAGCGGACCCTTTTACTCTTATTTATGATTTTGTTCTACTTTAGAGACATATCATTTGAGAGTTGTGTTTTTCTTTCAAAGTAATATATCAGGGGTTTATGCACGTGACAACCAATTTTTGGGGATTTAGTTAAATTGACTTGTTATCAATATTATTGTTTGTTGTTAAACTTTCATTTTTATTTTACTCCCGCATTTTATCGTGATGTTTGGGTTTTAGGCTGACTTGTCTTGGTAGAATAAGACAAGTGTCATCACATCTATTTTGCATCGTGATATTAATTGACTTCTTATTTTTCACCATTTTCCTCTTTGACCTTGAATTGAATTTGTAATTTTGATAATTTTTTGAGGTGAGTTTGGTGATAGGTGATAAAATTAATGGGGGCATGACTTTTAATTTTGATAATAGGCAATGAAACTTGTGTGCTTTTGATGATGAATACTGAAATTTGTAGTTATGATTATGAAGAATTTCAATGGTGGCAATAGTGGTGATTTGATTTCGATAGTGAATTTAGTTAAATTTGATTCATGTGGTGAATTTAGTTGTGGGTGATGGAATCTATGGCGGTGGAGATGTGAGTTTGATGATAATGACATCAATGGTGCTGGTTTAATGGTGGTGTATAGGGAAGAAGAACCAATTGGACTAAAATGGAATTTTATTTTATTTTTATTTTAAATCTGACATAATTGTTGATGTGACAGTGACATGGTGATGACATGACACGAGTATGAAACATTTTTCATCATGCGACTGATTTTATGTGTGTTACGATTAAAATAAAATCACTTTTAAGTAATTCAGAATTATTAAATAGATTGTTACAATAATTTAAACCTGTAACTGATCGATCCTTAAAACACTTTATAAGCTTTTCAAACACCTCCAAAACTAAAAAAACTAATTTTACAGGCACTGAGCTTCACAACAGAAAATGCAATCACAAGTTTCATCTGGATCACATTTCCCTATTTGAATTGGTCCCTTAATACCAGGGGGTGGAGGGCTGTGACCATACTTGCTAATGCATAGATCATTGCACTTCATATCATCACAAGGCTGTGTTGGTGATGGGATGTACACATGGCAATAGGTCATTAATCCATTCATCTTAGTACCTTCAATTTTGTGTAAAAGAAAAAAATTACTTAGTAAAAGATCATAAATTATAAATTTTCATTGAATATATAAATCACATAAATGAATATTTAACTTACTGTGAACACTACTATAGAGGACAAATAAGAAGAAAGTTATGCTTAAGAAGTACTTCATGATTCAATCCTCAAATTGTGTCAATGAAACTTTTGATGTTAAATTAAGTTATTATAAGCTATATATATATAGGAACACATTAATTTAAGGTCAAGGAATAATTAACTTTTCAAGATTATGAAAATAAATGAATAGTTTACCAAATTCTTAGTTAATTATTAAAGATAATACAGACATGACATTAATTAATTTTAGTCAAGTGATACTTACTTTTCAAGATTACTAATAAATATGAATAAATTTTAAAAAAATAATTATTTTTTACCTAATTAAATTAGAAATATATAAAAAAATAGTTATAAAAAATGACTTAATTAAGAGTAACTAACTATATATTATAAAACTAGGCCTTCCCTTCCACCTAAGTGGACTATTCTTTCCTTATGGAATCTAAGAAAAGAGAGATATTCTTGTGTAAGGCGAAAAATCAATGTCCTTCGGAATTATAAAAAGATAAAAAATTGTATGCCTTTAAATCCCGTCTTTCTTGATTCACAAGACATTAATAGGTGGAGTTGTCTGAAGATAATATTGAAAAACTTGTTCTCGATGTTTGACGATTAATTAAGACGTTAAGGTCAGCACAAGCATCAAATTAAAAACATAGTGATTTAGCTAAGGATTCTATGACGTTTCAAAAATTCGAGTTAGATGTAAAAATAATAAATACAAAAAGATAAATATGAATCACATAACACATACATATTTAGATATTACAATCAATATTTAAGAATGTACTAAGTGCACGAAAATAATTAGAGTTGAAAAGAACAAATAGAACAAGACAAGTGATTTATACCTAATCCGACGATATATTATATTGTCATGATCATCCGTCACTAAGAATGTTTTAATTATTTATTTCAACAAATAATAGACTAATATATACAACAAAATATTCACTTCCCATGAGGAGAAAAGTAACTAATTTAATACAAAACAAATAGTCTAATATTATTGGTGTTTATCTGCCACTAATAATATTTAAGTTGTTTATTTCAACAAAAAATAGATTAATATTATTACTGTTTGTCCACCGCTAGTAATATTCACATTATTTATTAAACAAAAAATAGACTAATATACAAAAAAAAAAAAAAAAAAAGTCAAACGGATATTATTAGTGCAAATCCACCACTAATAATATTTAAATTATTTATTTCAACAAAAAAATAGACTAAATATTAAAGAAAATTATTCACTTCCCATGAGGAGAAATATAGATTGATATTATTAGTGCTTATCCACCACTAGTAATATTTAAATATAATTTATTTCAACAAAAAAAAGTATTCACTACTCATCACCCAGGAGGAGAAAAATCAAAACAACCACGGATTTTGGACCAGCAATACGTGACAAGTGAATGACATGATTCTCGTTCGTGACTTAAAGATTGCTAGTTTGAATTCTATCCCAACATTATTCTTTGTGCGATGAGAATACATTCCTTGTGAGCCACTTGTTTCTCTCAAAGAAGAGGTCTTTGCATCCCTAGCTCCTTTACGAGCCGTCATTTAGAAGCCTTGATTTCGAGCTTTGAAAATTTTACCTAAATGTTATCGATCGAATATGATGATTAACATGTAGAACCTCTTCTCTTTTTTCCAAATCAATGATTCATATATTCAATTGAGATCACAAATTGCATCTAATGAAGTAAAATCTTGAAGTTCTTTGTCTTGTTCAAAAAGTGTCATTTCTTGATCAACCATAACAATCCAAGCTTCAATTCCACCAGGAAATTCTTTAGAATCTAATAAAACAATATTATCTTTTATCCCAAGAGTCGCAACAATCGTAGAAATAGACTCACCCCATCCAAAGTTTGCTTCATAAATTGGAAATTTACACCAACTTGAAATTGTTAACACGCGAAAATCATCCCCTTGACTCATAATAATTTTTCCGACTTGTTTAAAATTACTATTTACAAACTCAAAACCATCCTCTCCGCGTATTTTCTCCACGTAATTACCATCAATTCTCCCAATTGCACTCTTTATTTTTCCTACCAATGAACACCATTCATTTTCCACATTTGCTATACAACTTGTTACTAAAAAAAAGTTACCAAATGAATTTTCATCAAAGGGTGGAACTATCCTTTGCCTTATATTCACTGGAATAATTGCAACAGAGTTACACCCTTTTGCAGCCATGAAACATTTCCATATCAAAGCCATAACAACTTCTACACGTGTCGCATTCTCATTGTAACCCCAATTTATCAACTTAGCCTTCATTTTAGCTATATTTGAAGTAGTAAAAACGATTCTTTTTACTACTAATTTTTCAGCTACAATACGAATTGGCATGTTGTTTACATTTAACGTGTTGTCAATTGTCCCTCTCGATGGAAAAATTGACGGTAAACAGGAGAAAATAGAGTCTTTTCTTACCTTGTTGTCCCCCATGTTCTTCAAGTGCATGTCGGATGCTTCAGAAGTAGTATATTTTTTAAGGATCTGGCATGGGTGCAACAATATTTCTGGAGAGTTTGTGCAACATGTGTTGCATCTTATTGATCCTTCACTTGCATTGCTCCAATTCATAATGAATTTACAAAGGCTAGAAGCATCACCAATCTTATGTGAAATGGAGATACTAAGTGCTATACCACCACAATTGAATAAGTTGACTTGAATGGCTAAGAGTTGTTGAAAATTTGATAAGGTGCCATTTGAATTGTAAGGTGTGAGTTGGACCAATTCATTGGATTTTGGATTCTTGATTATGTCTAAAAGTGAAGCATCCACTTGTGATTCTTGATAGTAAGCTCCTTCATCATTGCAATCAATTGAATATTGGGACTTTATTCTTCCAGCCAAAGGGTAAAATTGAGTTAAAGTTTGTGAAAGTGAAGCTTTTAAGTGGTTGCATACTTGTGATTGTGTGAGGTTTTCACTCTTTTTGAAGAACAAAATGAGTGGAATTGAAGAATGGGGTATTAATTCATCTATGAAAGAGATTTTGTGGTCTCTAAGTTCATGTGGAGTTGGGGATGATGGTTTGATAAGCTCTTCACACATCTTGGCAATTTTCATTTTATTTTCTTGAACATGTATAGAGGAGAATGTAGCTTGTTTCTTGTTTATATAAGCAACAGAGTTTAACTTTGACAGTCTGACAGGGTAAGCTTGTCAAGACACTTAATAAATGGAATTAGTATAATAGCTTAAAAAATGTTGTCTAGTTGTCTCATAAAATATTTTTATATTATACTAACAAAGATTAGTTTAATAGATTGAAAATAATCTTTCTAATGATAATACAAATTTTATTGCTCCACTTGAAATTTCTTATCATAATAAAAGATTCTTGAATATCACATGGACATATATATATATATATATATCAACTCGACTGAATTCATGTGGTGGACTAGTTGTTTATAGGTTAAACTTAAATTAGATTAGAGCCCGTGCTAGTACCAGTCTAATATGTGTTTTTTTTCTTAATTTACGTGATATAAATAAAATTTGGAGAGTTGATCAAATTTTAATATGATTTTTTGATATTTTAAGTTGTTAATTATTACTACAATTTATAGTACTTTTTACATAATTTTTATTTGTCTCAATTCATGTGTCATTAGTAGAATTTCAAGAGTCAATCGAACTCTTTATGTGTCTTTTAAATATTTTAAGTTGTTAATTATTGTAATTTTTAGTATTTTTACATAATTTCAAATAATACTCCCTTTGTTTCTATTTAGTTGTCACCATTTTAGATTTCACGTCCCTTAAGAAACTAGGTAAGTTTATCATTTTACCCTTATTTAGTGTTCTCTTAAAGTTGAGTTTTCAATCAATGAACATGAATTAATTTATTTTGATTAATTAATTTAACCAATAAATATGATTTATTTACTTAGTTTTTCTATGTTGGTCATACGTATTTTCAAGGCTAATAACTCTCAAGGGTAAAACAGGAAGAATGATGTAATTTATGCATTGGTTTTGTGAAATGACAATTATTAAGGAACATCTATTTTTAATAAAGACCGACAGATGTAAATAGGAACAGAAAGGATATTATATTAGTTCCTTTTTCCCAATTTATATGGCACAAATAAAATTTCAAGAGTCGTTCCTGAGCCGTGGATAAACACTTATATTCAAACTATACTTTGTTTTGAAAATAGAAGAACTAACAAAAAAGATAGGAAATTCTGTATGGCCAAAGGCTGATTGTATCCACAGTGGAGAAGATCAGTCCTTAGATTTTTGCTATGTTGCTCGGATCTCCAAAAATGTTGATATGCCCTTGTCAGATCCTTGAAAAGTAACAGCTTTTGGAGCATCTGACACACACCCGACAGTACTTTTTGAAAAATCCCAGGCCGTCCCTAGTTTTTAACTAGGTTACTCATACCCTCCGTAAATGTTGTCAACACCTTGTCGGATCATCCAAAATGTATAAGGAGGTTCCAAAACACACCTAACAGTGTGAAGAGTCCGAGCAACCTAGGTTTTTTTAGTTGACACACTAGAAACCTAGTAGGTAGTGCTTGTATATCAGCAAAATTCTGGCAGCCCCTAACTTCCTGGACACATGAAGAAAGAAGTCATTTTCTTTGTATTCTACTGTAATTCAGCTTGAATTCAATACTTTCTTTGAATAATAGTAATATATAAATATCATTTTTTTACTCCTAAGTTTTATCAAACACACTAGTAACAACACCAAGAATATTCCTAGTTACATCTTTTGTTCATTTCATTTCTAAACTTATGGATAGGGAAAATATCATTTTCCTCTTCTTGCTAGTACTAACAGTTTTCACTCTTCAAACTTCAACAGCTTCTCAGATGTTGGTTTCTCGTAGACACCTCGTAGGAGAATGGCGATTGTTGCACAAAAGTATTGGCATAACCGCGATGCATATGCAACTCTTGCATAATAACAAGGTAGTTATATTTGATAGGACGGATTTTGGACGTTCTAACCTCTCCCTTCCAAGAGGGCGTTGTCGTTATAATTCCCACGACTTAGTCCTACACAAAGACTGCTCTGCTCACTCTGTCTTATACGACATTGCTAGCAACACGTTCCGTCCACTAATGGTCCAAACGGATACCTGGTGCTCCTCTGGTGCTGTCCTCCCAAATGGAACGTTAGTACAAACCGGGGGATACAATGATGGGGACCATATAATACGTACTATAGCACCTTGCACGGGTGAGAATTGTGATTGGTTTGAGCTTCCCCGGACTTTAATTCAACGAAGATGGTATTCAACTGACCACATCCTTCCTGATGCACGAATAATAGTGATAGGGGGAAGAAAACAGTATAACTACGAGTTCTACCCGAAAAATTCCAGAGGTAACTCTGCTTTCAGGCTACAATTTCTCAAGAGTACCCAAGACAGGAAAGATGAGAACAACTTGTATCCGTTTGTGTTCTTACTACCAGATGGAAACCTTCTCATTTTCTCGAATACCCGAGCTATAATTCTTAACTACAAGAAAAATCAGGTGGTGAGGGAATTGCCTTCCATTCCAGGTGATGAACCTAGGAACTATCCAAGCACTGGCTCAGCAGTATTACTTCCACTAGACGAAAATCGCCCTATGGAAGCTGAAATCATGGTATGTGGAGGAGCCCCTCGTCGTGCATATGGACTTACAGCTAATATGGTCTACATGAAAGCCCTTTCAAGTTGTGGAAGAATCAATGTCCGCGATGATCATGGTAGATGGAAAATGGAGACAATGCCAACGCCACGAGTCATGAGTGATATGTTAATACTACCTAATGGGGATATTCTCATCATAAATGGTGCATCAAGGGGAACAGCAGGCTGGGATAACGCGCGTTCCCCTGTCACTAGGCCAGTGATTTATCGGCCTAACATGAGGAGACACAACAGGTTTTCGATCATGAAAGCATCTTCAAGACCCCGGCTTTACCATTCCTCAGCCATTTTGATGACCGATGGACGGGTTCTAGTAGGAGGAAGCAATCCACAGGAAAACTACAACTTCACTGGGGTGGAATTCCCAACTGATCTAAGTTTGGAAGCCTTCTACCCACCTTTCCTAGCCCGAAAACACAAGCATCTAAAACCAACAGTCCTCTCTATAGATGCAATCTTGATATACAAAAAATCATTTTCCGCGACTTTCACAGTGCCTAGATTCTTGAGAATGGGGACTGTTTCAATCAGGATCATCGCGCCTTCATTCACCACACATTCTTTTTCGATGAACCAACGAATGGTGGTGTTGAAGGGAGTCGTGGTTGTTGCAGTATCCGCTAATACTTATAGATTCACAGCATTTGGTCCATCAACTAAAGAAATTGCACCACCAGGATACTATTTGCTCTTTGTAGTACATGCTGGCATACCAAGCTCTGGTATGTGGGTGAAAATCCAGGATAGTACTTGACATACACAAACAAGTGTGATAACAAACAGTGACCGGAACCAAAATTTTATACAAGTTGAAACGTATGACCTAAAGCAACTTTTGAAACCCCTTTATCATTTTACAAGAATTTTCCTTGTGTCAAAGGAATTCAACAACTTATATATAACCAAAAAAAACTCGTTTAATTAACAATTTTCTAGCAAAGGGGATTTATTGAATCCCCTCTGTTCAAAGCTAGGTATGCAACCGTTCATAGATTACTTACATTTGTTAAAAACAAGGTCAAGTACATCAACGACTCCTTAGACTTGTCAATAAATTTCAAATATACATGCATAGGAAACCGACCTATTGAACACCTACATGTTAGTGAAGAAAATGTGTCTATTAAACACTTCACTAAAATTCAGTTAGAAAAATAAGACGTATAACATATAATAATGGCTTTAACATGGCAAAATAGCAAATAAATTTCATTTCTTTTTTTAGAATATATAGGGGAAATATGACTTTTTTTTCTTGGTTATATAACTGAATTATTAGATGTTCAACTATGCTTGCTTATTTGTTTTGGTTATAGAAAATATTTGACCAAGTTTTATGGGGAATTTGTTTATGTGACAAAGAGTCTCCTCCTCCTAAAAGGAGACCAATCATATAAAGTTTATGTAACAAGAAATCATATAGTTCATGCTTATGTTTAGACGCGTAGTCAAGAATTGAATTCAAATTCGAACTTAATACTGAATTCATAACTCATTTTAATTATGAATTTGCGATTAAAGTAAGAGTTGTTTTTTTTTTTTAAATAATAATTTGTGAACCACTATCAAATGAAACTAAAGGGGTGACAATGTAATTTACTATAGGTATATTAGATTAAAAAGTAAACAAATAACAGAACACGTAATCATCAAAGAAAATCCAAGGGATCCACGTGATATACCCATAAACAAATATATTTTTTTCGTTTCGTTTGATGTGATAATATTTAAATTTAATAAAAATTATATAATATCAAAAGAGATTTACGTTTTTAAAAAAATTTTAAATATATAATATCAAAATTTCAATAAATTTATATAGTTGTAAGGTGATCGAATTGATTGAACATGTAATTTTTATCAAATAAGTTTGAAATCTCCCTCTCCCCGCTCCCTAACCTCACTTTATGCTTCCTCGATTGAGCTTGTTATACGAAATTTGACTAGTGAAATTTACCTCTCCTGTATAGTCTAGGACCTATTGAATATAATAGAAATATAACAATATTGTAATTAAATATTAAATAGTTTAAAATAACTTTTTAACAAACTAAGAGAAATAAACGTCATGAGCACGTGTCAAAGTATATCTTTTGATACCTTATCTAAATCAAAAAAACTTTAATTATTGCAATTCTAGTCCAAATTAAACTCATAAAAGGATAGGGATAAATCACAATTAGTTCCCTTTTCAATTAAAAAGTAGGCTAAAATATTGAGTTTTTTTGTACTATATATACACTCTGTTGCGTGCATAGAATTGTGTGAAGTTAGAGTATTTCTGAACCCATCTCAGATTTTGCACTGGTAAGCCTTTTATCTCTTTAATCATTCTTGTTTTTGCAGATTACATGTCGGGTTTTCTTAAAATTGATTAAAAAAAATGGAGATTTTTGGTGATTT